TACCACACACCCAAACTTGGACTCTCTTAAGGCGGCGCTTTCAAAATCTTGGGACGAAATCGATGACCAGTACCTGCGTGCCACATGCGAAGCATTTGTCGAACGTCTGAAGGACTGTGTGAAGGCTAAAGGAGATCATTTTGAGAAGCATTAACATTTTTTGTATTGTCATGTTTGTAGTAAATAATATTGATAATTAGAATTGATTTGTGAGAATTATTGTCAAAATGCCATTGAAAATTTAGTGCACCAGTAATTTTGCCCCACCCTGTAATATAATAGATCACCCGCTTCTGGTCGATAGTGTAAAGGGGCAACATAACAGGAGTGACAGTTGTACAAACAAATTTTATGTTTTACGCCGCTACTTCAATTTGTCACATATCGCCACTGTCCCTGTTCAGGACCTTCCCTTCCCCATGGCAAATTCGACACCCTGTCAGGGAGTCTTTAACCGTGATTTGTCAAGTCGATTTCTTTGTTTTGGTTTGTACCTATTGATTTGCCAGTAGCAATCTTACAGCGAAGCGTAGTATTAAATTCTCCCAATGAACCAATTAGAGTTGAGTTGCCGTGTAGTGTTTGATAAGCGATTTTTGGTCACCACTCTTGTCGCAATTGATAACAGTCACTTATGGCGTGTCATAGCGCAGCGAATGGTCGTGCGCGCCTATTTTTCCCTTTCAATCTCCTCTCACAATCAACGGCAGTTGGTGAAGTTTGCAAGCGCTAACATAATAAAAGTTTTCTAGCGCAAACATTTGTTTTATTTCTGCAAAAAAGTGGATTTGCTGATCTTATGGAACATTACTCGGCACAATCGGTTTTTTTTCTGTTGGAGATCTAGGTCACGCATTCGGTCAAACTTGACTCATAACACTAGTGGCCCATAACCGTTCGCCAATTCATCCTCTTTTCATACCTGTAGGTCGTCCTCATGGTGGTCTCACGAGCGCTCAAGTGCAGTCGGGTGGGTGTGGTATCGTGGCGTATTTCACCCAAGGTATTCGGAACCATGCCAAAATTTCTATTCTCATACCCAATTAGTTTTTTCTTACCCAAGCAAACTGATTTTCATAAGCTCTGAAATTCTTCTGCTTGCAAAAAATTGAATCACTTGTGTCAAGATGAATTATCGCGTCACGATGCCCCTCCCCACTCGCCTACTACCCTTTCCTCCTCATGTGGCCTGCTCAATAAATTAATCACACGCCAGTAAATTTTTTGAGTAGGATTTTTTTTCCACTTGCCTAAAGCATCGGCTTCAATTTTGTGTGCTCACATTCACCGAATTCAACAAATTTAATTGTCATAATCAGTCATGATCACGAGTTGCTACGGGAACTGATTAGCTCGTTTTCGTTGTTGAAGATGGTTGTCGTCCCAGCAAATCAGCGCTTTATTTATGTGTACGGAGAGTTTCTTCGACTGGACGTTCTTTGTGTGATAGGGAATGTGTTCGCTATCACTTCTAAGCAGTAGAGTTGGTTTAATGTCTGCTCAACAGTCTGTTTTGGCGAGGTCGAAGTCGATGCCTCTTATGTCTCATGCAGACCTCTTTTTCAACCAAACCAGGGTGAGGATGAGGAAGTGGGATAAGGGGAGGCCTGTTCATCACCATCGTAGCCAATAGGAGGAAGAACTGACGGTTTCACCGCCTTAACTGTGACGTGATGATGTGACATCGTCGTAGGTAATCACATTTCATGCGCTCTTATTAATTGCATTCTTCGAACATCTGCTACCTCTACCCTACTTTATTTACATCTATCTACGTTTCAGCTTTTACGTAGCTCTGCCTTCTAATACTTGCCCTTTTCAGAACTTCTTCCAACTACCACCAATCGAAAAATGTCAATGTCGGTACGACTATTGAAATTCTACAGCATTTGAAGGCTTACAACTCCTTACTGAATACTTGTTACAGTTCGATGAAGCCGCCACAAAGGTGAAGTCACTGAAGACATCGCCATCAAATGACCAGCTCTTGGAACTGTACGCACTGTTCAAGCAAGGTACAGTTGGCGACAACACCACTGACAAACCTGGCATGTTCGACATGAAGGGCAAAGCAAAATGGAGCGCATGGGACGGCAAGAAAGGTTAATAGAATGTTCTATGAAAGCCCATTTTTACAGTTTGATAGTATAAAGTTGAGTAAGTGTGGACGGATGCAGTCCTGGCACATTTACCATCTTTGCTATGGGTCTTGTTTTTTTTTTGATTGAAATCAACAATTTTTCAGAAATGTTGAATATTTGAAGGCAAACAAGGCACTTTTTCAGGAATGAGCCAAGACGATGCCAAGAAGGCTTATGTTGAATTGGTGGAGCAGCTTATCGCCGCAATTGGTCTCGCTTAAAAATCACCAAAATATCAATCACCGGGAAACGTGTTTATTAATAAGTGGACTTAATTTGATACTTTTTATTTATGTTGCCGCAGTAATAAATAATAAAGACATTGATGATAATTCTCGAAACTCCTTGAAAAAGTTCATTATGCTTTATTTGTAACAATAACAAAACATGCACATATGAGTATTATTAGGAAAAGAATGAAAAGAAAAAACAATAAAGAACGGCGATTACGCTGAAATGAACGATATTGATACAAAAAGAATAACCTTGCACAGAAAGTTGTCACTACAACATGTGGATTGGAGGTACTTCCGAACTCTTTTCCGAGGTATATCAAGTATGACAAATAGCCCAGAATGATTGGGTGAGGAATATCAACTAGTTTATTATGCTGACTCTCCGGGTAGCTGATCACAAGTTAAGGTCCTTAAAAGCCTCGCCAAGAAATTCAAAATATGGATTCTGATTCATGGGTCCCCACCCTGCCACGGTGTGGAGCCGCTTTTCATTAGAGGCATGCACCGAGGGGTTTAGAACTTAGAAGGCCCGCAGATGGTCTTGTTTTGGAAACAAGCTCAGCCTCAAAGCAAATTCCTGACGATGAGCTAAAGTGGCTAATAGCGTGCTGCCATTGCATCGTTTCGGTCACACGTTGAACGTGAGCACTGCCTTAATCAAATCGTCGGCTAGACAGCCAAGAAGGAACAACTTCAGAGAATGAGCCAAAAAGAATCAAATGAAAAATTTAGCTATATGCAATTTGGGTAGAGGTCTCTAGAGGTCTGCGTAACAAAAAAAAAGAAATAATAGGATCACTGATACTAGCGATTCAGCAGTATTCTAGAAGGTATGGGTAACATCAACGTCTACTATGGGCTTCTACAGTGAAACAAAACATTATCCAGATTCTGATATCGTGAACTAGGCAGGCTCACAGTTTTCATAAAGCGCTTCTGGTCTAGCAAAACCGGTAGCATTTGCAGAGGTAGCCATCTGAAATAGATAAACCACTTACCAGGGAGTGTTTTGAAGTTCCCATGGAACTCAGAAAGGAGTCCTAGGTACATTGGTATCGCTGATTACGAATATGGACACTAAAACTGCTACGTGAACTTTGTAAGAAAGTTGTGAGCCTTAAAAGTTGCAAAAGAACGCTAATGATGAGGTGCAACCTATGTGGAAACACGGTTGCTTTTTGCCTGGAACTTGTTCTATAAGGGTAAATGGGTGCCCTGATTACGAATATGAGACTCGTTTTGGTGCAGAGCTACCGACTATGATTCCATCATGTAAGCTCGCTTCAGTAACGTTTTTTGCCAACTTCGAAGGCTCATAACTTCTTAGGAAGTTCACGTAGCTTTATTGTCTAAATTGTAATCAATGTTCAAGACTCTATCGAAACATCCAGGTCTCCCATCAAAGTTCCATGGGGAGTTCAAAGCATTTTCTGGTAGGAAAGAAAAAAAAAAAAAAAACGTCAAAAAAAAAAGAAAAAAAAAAAAAAATGCGTAAGTACATAGGACATTCTTTCTCACAAACCTTCTTGACGGATTTGACAAAAAAGTCGCTATAGCTGCAGAAAGAGAGGTGGAGAAAGAGTGAGAATTCTGGTTACATAACAGAGAAAACCACCGAAAGAGGCGGCTCAGAAAAATTGACCCATGCACGATCTAATTATGTATAGGACGATCGCTTTCCCTCGGGCAGAAGACTGCTCAATTCTAGCCCTATTACGGCAGATCGACATCATCAAGACGTGAATGAAAGCTAGCGCTGTACTCTTTATATCCTTCCCAGAACAACCAATGTTTCTATGGGCAGTGCCGAAAAGAAAGTAAATAAAAGGGAAATAGTAGTAAACCAACGCGGTCGAAGCTGGAAGACTGAAGTGCTGGGATTGTAGCCGCACTCCCAGAGCGCGAAGCTCCACTGCTCATGTCTGGACAATGTTCATGGCAACAATCGAAAGTGGCTGCCTGAACATAACGATATAAATAGGATAGATAAATAGGATAGAACATAGCAGACAAAGTGCAAACGCAGCACTTAAACATCACAAACGCTTCGAAGTAGAGCCAACCGGTGCAAAGCCCACTTCGATTCACCATTTCCCTTAAAGGTTCCCTTATACGACCCCTCCGCTTTCACCACCTTCACCGCCATGGCTGTCTATCTTAGTTGATCTGGCACCAATCGATACACAGTATTGGGTTTATAAAATCGGATTACAAAACTCGTCGGAAACCTCACTACACCTCCTACAAAGCGGACCTCGCAACTTCCCTTTACATCCCCCCTCCTCGCTCACCACTTCACTGATAACAAAACCAGAAATGCGACCTCCTCAAAGAACAGAGATCCGGCTGACCCTGCTCCGACGTGACGAAGGGTATGACCACGATGTGAAGTACAACGAAGGAGGTTCAAAATAATGTCTAACTGTCAAATACAACTCACTTTGTCGAGAAGTGTGGTTAACATAGTGGTGGCTACATCAGTAATAAAGCGCTCGCGATATCGCTGGCAAGGTGTGCTGAAGTTTTGCTGGGGGTATGTGGGATTGTAGAAGGGAGTATTCCTGAAAATAAGAATTGAATGCTGCGCAAAGCATAAGCATAAAGCATTTGCCGTCGGTCCTTTTTTTGAATTGCGACACGCATTCTAGTTTCATTTGCGCATTCGTAATGCACTTAAAAGCATTTGCCTATGCCCAATTGACCTTCGGGGGGGGGGGGCAGCGATGCTTTCGGAGTACGCTTTTGTCCTCCCATACCAGTCTGGTACCAATTAACCGACTTCGGAGGGACGGAAGCCTTGGTAGGCTCGGAGGACGTGCGACCCAAGATTTATCCCCGGATCTCACGTGTGGCAAGAAGCGACATGCCGCAATATCTTTCTGCCCCTGGGCAAAGAAAGGAAGAAACTACTATGTTGAGTTTGAAAACTGTGTTAGCCCTCTAATTGAGATAGACGTCCGAAACAAAGCGTAGAAACTACTGGTTTTATATTTTTTAAGAACATTGTTGCGCACACATCATTTCAAATAGAATGACTCCGAACTAACATGTAAGAAGTCATAGGAGTGTAGTACGGGACAGTACTCTGGAAACGATACGGTGCTGCCATCATTGCCATGTATGGATTTGTCTTTAAAATGAAACAGTGTAAATTTTAGCCATTATCATTCAGATACAGTGAAACCAAGACAGTGTTGTACCTGCTGACTAAAAGGGTTACAAACTGAAGTGACTGCATGTAAGGGTTCCGCACCGTTGTCGAAATCTCCGATTCGACGCCAAACCTGGTTAGCCGCATCGTGTGGCAGCTGCTAGAAAAAAGCATGAAAGTCCGGCTGGAAATATGGGAGCCAAAGAGCAATGAAAAAGGAACACTTACAGTGAAATCAGAGCTTTGCTGCGTTCGCGCTCCTTGACGATGGAAGGGCATGAATGATTGGTTATTTGCGTTTTCGTCCACTATCTGATACTAAATTGATCTTGCGTTTAACTAAGTTCGCTCGCTGTGGAGCGTTAGAAGGACAGGACACGGAAAGCCATATCATGCTACTTGAAACTTTCGCACTCAAATCAAACGATTTGCACGGTTCACATGTGAGTAAAATGCGCAAATGTTACGTAGAACACATGTATCTCGAAGTCCTCCGTCAATACCCTACGGGAAGGATGGTAGATTGGAGAGGCCATTCAAGATTAGATATGCGTCGCCTGACCAGGAGACTTCTTCGAACGCTGATCTCAAACCTGTTTGCCGTTATCTACTTGGCGATCCTTTGAGCACAGTCACAGAGGTTTTTGTGGCATGGTTCCAACCACATATAGGAAGGATTGAATGGTTTTAAAGAAGTGCTGTTGCTGATGTATGCAGGATCACACTGGTTTCACTAATTGGGCTAACTCTTGACTGTCAGGCAACTACATGACAGCTGCTGCATTCTTCAGCAACTTCACACTGTCATATAAGGAGTCATGGTAATCACGATATGCAATGCTAGAACCTCAGATTATCTAAACAGTAGTTACCCCGTTTCTTCCGCTGAGATCCAAGGAATGGTCGTTTGTAGATCGCTTCGAGAAGTTCATCTCATTGGGGTTGCTTTCCTCGGTGACGGCCTGAAAAATTCTGTCAAAATAACCATGAGTTGTGCCTAGCGTATTTTTGTGTTTGTTGCTGTTTGTGATCTTGCGATGGTTAGAGTGCTGTAGAGAAAAAGTGCCATTTACAAATATTTAAGATATATTTTCCAATGGACTGAGTATGAGCAGGGGGCCGGTAGATGATGTGACCAGTCACCCGCGATGAGCAGGGCAATTTCTAAATAAGCGGTGCTTGCTAAGAACGTTACTATTCAGTTCAAAGGCAGCCTAGTGATCGATAGATGAGCGTGAGGCATGCGAACCATAAACAACATCTTAGCTGCTCAGCGTGCTAAATTGGTAGGATACTCGGCTTCGAAAGTGGAGCTTGTCTTCACTTGAGTGGTGGGCCCTACTGCTAAAAAAAACTCACAGCTAGTCTAGCGGACGGTTGATGACAAAATCACAATTCGCAAAAGGGTTACGAGATAGCCTCGAGACCAAAAAGATGTGGATAGACTATAGAAGAAGATTTCAACCCATATGTAAGGCAGAGAGCGCCGACTTTGCTAGGCCTCAAATCTAAACCCCTGGTGACCAGTTTTATCGGCAAAACCACACGACGCACACGTTACCGCGTGCGGTCTTGCCGTGCCAGATTGCTGGATATTTAATGAATAACACCAACAATGATGGAATAATTCTTCATTCATTGTTTTTCAGATGCTCCGCTTAGTGACCAAACTCACATTAATATTGCCTCAACCTAATAATACGAGTTTGGAAAAGTGCGCAAATATTTGTAAAATATAATGACTACCTCTTCTTCTTCATCTGCATTTGGTTCTCCTTCCGATCCACGGAATTCTGCATTTTCACGCTGAACCTTCGCAGCCTCCTTGTAAGCCTGAACAAAATGTATAACAGCTGACAGGGAGAAGCAGATGAGTGTAGTGAAAGGACACTAGGCATATGACAATATACGGTTTTTTCTAATGCGTTGCAGACGGTTAGATTACAAATGTAGATTCCTTATTTGCTCAACTAAACTATGAGCAGTGTCGCATGTTTTTCATTTGTTTGTTTTTTTCTGAGATGTCGGTCAGACTCTGCGATTGCATTCGCGCGATGCAGTCGCTCTTGCAATGTGCACAAGCGACGGGCGATTGGCATCGCTCCAAAGTGCGAGCGACGGGAGATTTACCCCGCCGACGACCGATACACACGGCGCCGCTCGGGTAAATCTCCCGTCGCTTGCAGTGCGAGTGACGGGAGATTTACCCCGCTGACGACCCGACACACACGGCGCCGCTCGGGTAAATCTCCCGTCGCTCGCACTTTGAAGCGATGCCAATCGCTCTAGGCAGAGCGACTGCATCGCGCGATGCAATCGCAGAGTCTGGACGCCCCCAGTCGATGCAGTCTGCTGCGGTATCGATCGAGCAGAGCCATCGGCCGTCGCTTGTGCACTTTGCAAGCGATTGCGCAATCGCTTGCCAATCGCTCGACCGAGAGCGATTGGCAAGCGACGGACAAGCGATGGAGCGATCGCGATCGCCATCGCTTGGTCTGTCGCCGACTATGACGTTGGCCTAATTGCTGTTAATAATGAGCAGAAGATGGAGGTGTCGAAGAGAAAAAAAGGACAACGATTCTTCCATGACAACGTAACAGGCTGATCGTTACCCTTTTGGCTTGAGATTTACTGATCATGCCGACAGCAGCGTCACCATAAAGATATCTGTCGTGGCTCCGAGATGTGTCTCGAGCACGCTGAAAGTTCAAATTATGCAATCAGTCTACTGGTCAATAAGCTAAATTCTACCACACGGCGGTGAATGTCAGACTCGGCGATTGGCAATGGCTACAGTGCTATCGCGTGCGATTCTGGCGCGATGCCAGAGTCGAGAGTGGGGAGGGGCGCTCAGTGCAAACTGTACGGATCGGGAAAGGCACGCCCTCTCGACTCCAACATTGCAGAGATTGCACAACCGTTGGGTCAGACGTTCACCTCAACGATGCTCAAAAAAAAAGATTAAAAAGAAAAAAATGTTACGTACGGAATTATTGGAGCGCGCACAAGCCCCTCTTCTTTTTTTCGAAGTAACAGACCTCGGTTGAGTGTTTCTCTAAAAGGAGAAAATATTACCTTCATACCAAAAACTTTCGTACTCTGAGCATCAATTATGCAAATCGTATGTTTTTGAAATCGGAACGTTAGGCACCTTTCTTAGCTCACAGGGAAGTACGCGCAGAATGCGTGAAAAACGCAGAGCCGCGGGTAGCTTTGTCAAAATTGAATCGAATATTGAGAGTCCCTCCCACACTTGTAAATCCAACGCTTTCCTCAAACTCCGAGATGCGTGGCTCCGCGACGCGGCCTTGGCCCTGCGAAGCAGCTCGCGTCCGAATTTTTCTTTATTCTTCGTCATTATGATAATTTTGTTTTCATTCTTCCCTTAAATTCACATTCGTTTCTTCACAGTGTACCTTGAATTCGAGTGTATATGCTGTAATCGGGTGTGGGTACTTAGGACAGAACGCGACTTTTTCGCTCTTCGCAACGCGACATCGCGCGGCAGGCTGGCGCACCCGTAGCGAAAACAACTACGGTATATAAGAACGCGCGATTGGAGCAGCTTTTTTGCATGCGTGAATTTGGTAAGTTTCTGATTCCTTACTTGCCCGCGCTCACACCCATTGTATTGATAAATGCGGTGAATCACTAATTCTGTCTCATTATTGAAAACGTTTTGTGACTTACACGATTCCGGGCGATGCCACTAAAATGGTGTTTTACGAATTATCGGTGAACGAGGGTTTAATAGGGCCGCTTGTGCTTGCATTTTGTGGGTTCATATTGTTGTATAGACTTCTGCATAAGGGTATAACATCTTTTACGGAAACGCTTCTGTCCTCATTACGGATATGATACTCATTTTGGACGCTGGCGCCATTTGGGGCCAGGTGGCGCCACAACTGTTTCCCACTAAATTCGTTGTAAACTTTTGTATAGGGGTTATTCGGGGTCCTGATTTGTTGTTAGCGCTATTCGGCGCCTGCTTCCTGCTCGTCTGCGCCCTCGCACTAATTAGATCGCAAGTAGGACTAAGCCTTTGAGTAGTGTAGGGCTCCAAAGTGGGTAGGCCATTCCCCTGTGGTCTGACACACTCCAACTTTTGCCACACGGTGCGTGGTTTACCCACTCCGGAGTTTCACTCCCCTCCCCTAAGCTTAGTCGTAGGCGCTGTAGGTGAGAAAGCTTAGTAAAGCAGAAAGTATGCGTTAAACAGCACGAATGTGAAAATTAGTGTCATATTCATGATCAGGGCCCCAAATAACCCCTATGCAGAAGTTTACAGTCGTCTCATCAAACGTCCATCAACCATTCCTCTTCCAGGTTCTCCAGAAGCTCTACCATCCATCTCTGCAAAAATAACCTACCTCCCTCTTCACTGCTAGTTAGCGGTCCACTTCTGGTTACCATTTCCTCGTTCATTATCAAATCCATGGCTATTAAGCTTCAAACTCCTTGTCGCAATCAAAGCCGACACAAATATCGCGCTCCAATCGCGCGTTCTTATATACCGTAGTTGTTTTCGCTACGGGTGCGCCAGCCTGCCGCGCGATGTCGCGTTGCGAAGAGCGAAAAAGTCGCGTTCTGTCCTAAGTACCCACACCCGATGTGTAATCAAAAGATAAAATGAGAATAACTATGAAAATCAGCTGTCGTGTGAGAAAAATGAACACGCTGATGAATACAGAGCAAATCTAAGGAATGAATACATCAGGCAGCCTTTAATTTGGATGAACCGTTTACACTCGAACGAGAAAAAAAAGCAATAAAGCAATGCCGACAGTCGGTCGAAATGTAGCTTCCAGAAGCTTCAGCAATAATGTAAATCTAGAGACACACCCTCATTCAGAACACTAGAGGAAGAAGCAGGAATAAAGCAAACAACCAAAATCACGTCAAAGGAGAGGACACAAAGGTGTACAGTGTCGCGCCACGTGCTCACGCGTCACGGCAATCACGAAAGCACGGGATGGAGAACGCGCAAAAGGAGTGCACAGATGAAAAGACTTTCGCCTTTCGCTGCGCGAAATATTCTCGCCGCTGGGCCTCAGGTTCACCTATAATCATGAGTGGATCTGGAGCTTCAAAGTAAAAAAAAAAAGAAGTCGCTTCCTATCCTAGCGACGCACACCCGCAAAGGCTATAGCACAAATACGCGGGATTACCAGCGCAAGAATCAAAGCGAGCCGAGAGATGTCGAATACGTCTTGGTAGCGCTTTCCGCGGATTAGACATATCACGATGGCACAGGATATGAGTGTTGCTTTTTGTAAGTGTCAGCCCTCGCTATTGCAACCGCGAAGTCTAACACCCAGACTACTCTTGAATTTACCCAAAATTACCACTGATACTGAGCCTGCTCAAAATATCAACATTCGATTCTTGACAATCGAATAGCACCATGAATCAGGTTTTGAAGTTCACAACTTAATGTAGAAAAACAGAGCGAGAGTGATGAATCATTAAGAACCTCTGCCATGGATAATAATATACATTTTGCCTATTCCGAGCCAATGAAAATTTCATGTTTTCGAAACGATGAATGCCATGAGCAGATATTCGTGAAATGTCGATCACCACAGATCGTATTCAAATTAGTTTACCTGTTTTGTCGACCAGTCCATACTACTGTATCGTTCAGGCGGTTTCACGATTCTGTCACCCTGCAAGGAGAAGAATGAACTCCATCTTGTACAGCTAACGGCACCCACCATATGATAACGTACTCTTGGTTCGCGAGAATATTCTCCTAATTACAACAAATCAACGTGTGGTGAAATATGTTCACAACTTAGCCACAATAAAAAACAAATGAAAGAAATGCTGCAGTCGAGTGGTGGCATACAAGACTAAGAAGGTAGGGGGTCGTTCAGAACCTACAGCGATTTTCGGGACCTGGTTAATACCATGAGAGATTATCCCAAGATGAATCCGTTGCTGAGCTTTGTGAGGGGGAAGGCACGGGTGACTTTCACGTGTTAAAGGAGGATTTTACTATGGAAAGGCAGCCCATTGAAAATCAAGTGAGAGATGGTCGGTGATGCACGAAAGAAGAAAAAATCGAGAAAAATGGCCTAGAACCCGAGAAATGCCCCCTTGCCCGTTTATCAGCTCATTCTAAGCATTAGATTCGACATTCGGAGAATTGAAGCAGTGCCATAGATGGGGATTTGTCAGAACATTCGGATTTCCCATTTCTCAGAATCCAGCAAAAGTCATCGGGTAAGTACAAGGACACTCTGAATGCTTCTATCCGCTTCTCAGAATTTGCTGAAAAATGGGTTTTCTATCATGACAATGATCCGATGCAACCCTACTTTCTCAGATGCCTTCCTAAATACAAACCATCACTGAACTATACAATTACATAACAAAATTATCCATTCCTTCAGCGTCTTCGGAGTTATTGTGCAAAATCCGCCTTGACATTGATGTCTTTTCAAAGCTTTGACGCGCCAAGAAAAAAAATCTTTTTCAATCACTCAATTCAATTCGAATTTTGGAAATTTGTTGCGCATCGTTTATTCCACTTGATTTTTTATCTCCTCTGGGGACTTGAGCCAATTTCGATATTTATTAGTCGCGCTATATCGAAAAAGTTTCCGAAATTCGGCCGCTACTTTAGCTTCCACAATGGGTAGCCGTGGGCAAATAGGTGTCTCTTCACATATCTGGCGAACGGATTAGAGACAGACTCTGTTTAGGCTTATCTACAGTCGAGTATGCCTCCATGTAACAGTTATGATTAATTCTCAAAATTGGGAAACGACGCCTTCACTCAACCAATGCGTTCACGACAGCCGGTGTCAGACTAAGGAGTCGGGGGGGGGGGTACGAGAGTTGTAGGGCGCACGCATAGTCGGTCGTCCGACAGCAACGATCGCAACTGTCTGACTGTCTAACTGCATCTAATCGTCGAATACTCAGGCAAGTCCGACGATCGATACGCATCCAATGCTGTGCGACAGTTGCTGTCGTCCGACCGACTATGCGTGCGCTCTACCAGCGAATCGGAGTGATTGTGAGTACCAGCGATTTGATCTGTGCACCAGCAGTTCGAACGATGTATAATACCAGTTGTTCAACGATGTACCAGCGACTCGACACTGTTTGGAGATGGCGGACTCTCGGCTCCCCCACTTTCTTCACGATTTGGGGCGCGGCCGAGTCGATAGTGCCCGCGAACTGTGCGGGTAAATTTGAAAACGCTCCACCACCACAGTTCGCGGGCACTGTGGACTCGTCCGCGCTCGCCGCGGCCGCGCCCCAAATCGTGAAGAAAGTGGGAAAGCCGGGACTCCCTCACGATTGCACTTTGACTCTCGTCACTTCCCCGAGCTCTCTTGCCCTCGTGAGTCCGGGAATGTGGCGAGAGTCAATGTGTAAAAGATGTCACGGCAAAGAGTGTCGAGTCGACGGTACATCGTTCGAGGCGCTTGTACACAGTTCGAACTGCTTGTACGCAGTTTAATTCGCTGGCGCAACGCTCGTACTTCGCCGGAATCGCAAAGTCCGACAGTCCTGGCACTCGGCCTACTAAGGATTTGGCGGTAATCCCTGGGAGTCTCTCCGTAATCGTCCTGCTCATCAACGAGCAATTTGAAGTGTGTTAGGCTGGTGTCAGAGTCCGCGATCCGTCGCAGGTTTCGCTGATTTTCGCGATTTGCGCGAAACCTGCGACGGATCGCAAAAATTGCAAGTGCCCCATTTGAACATTTGAAACACTGAATATGAAACAAGTGGAATCATGAGCAGTCGTCATTCAGCCATCACTATCAAGCAGAAGTGGCGGATTGGAGAACACCTTGCAGTATTGATCGGGCACTTGTGATTTCCGTGACCCGTCGCGTGAATCGCGCAAATCGCGCAAATCGCGAAAATCGCGCAAATCGCGAAAATCGCGAATCGCGCAAATCGCGAAAATCAGCGAAACCTGCGACGGATCGCGGACTCTGACACCAGCCTTAACCAAGTCTCCATTTGTTCATATGAGAATTTGCACGAAGCTGGATATGCTTATTCCGAACTGATTTTCCTTCTCGACTTTCCCGCTTGGAATGCGGTTAATTTGTGAAGAGGACAAGCCGCTGGATTTTATGAAAAAAATTTATTTTGCCAAACTTGTTTTTATTCTACACGGTTTGCTTAACGCCTAGGTGACAGATCATATGAACGGTCAGAAATGGGTTGTTGCGGTTGGAGTAAAAGAACAAAGTTGACAGTGCATACACAAAAAACCTTGATTGTGTCACAACGAGACCTAGCAGCAACAACGTAAATGCCAATGTGTCAGAGAGAGGATTTTGAAATTGCTAGAAAATGAAAAAAATAAATAAGAAAAAAATAGAAAATGCCAGTTTTCATACCTGTTTACTAGCCTTTAGCAATGAACAGTAAAGTTTAGCGGCTTCTCGGCTTGCTGAAGGAACATACGGACGCATACCTGCAAGAATATCAAGAGCGAACTATTCACAATGTGAACCCGAAAACCTATAAAATTGCAGTCCATCACAGCATGTGAGCTAGAGCTAATGAAGTCGGCACGGGCCACTTTGCAAACCACTATCAACCCGGTCAGCAGTACAGAAGATCAAAGAAGCAAATGAGCGTTCTAAATCCTGAGTAGTTCAAACTTCGAGGTCTCCAGGTTCCGCCGAGACTCACAGAGTGTGAAAATATGCCAGCGGTGCT